GGCACAGAGGGAATACTGGCTGGGCTGGGACAGAAAACTCATGCCACGTGGCTCAGCCAAACTACACAATCTGAGCTCATTTTCAGGAATTATTCTGAGCTACACAGCTTCATCTTATCAATGAGGGAAGGACCGAGTGAGTGCACGCCTTGTCTGAACTGTTATTACTAGCTCTGCTGAATTGCCTGATATGAAGTCATTTTTTTCCATGACAACATTATGATTATTTTTAATAGCCGAATTGCCGTGGGCAGCAATAATACAATAGAATGCAGTAAGACTGGAAAGCGGGCTATTGTAATAACCCTGCACTATGCTACAATAATATTTTTATTAATTCACTTGAGTAATGTGCTTATCCAAAGCAACTGATGTCTGGACCAATTTATACTGTAATATGCAGCATTTTTACCTACTGTTTTGCAGTTAGGTCTTCTTGCTTGGTCACTTTTTAAAATCACATGGTCAGAATGATCATTTCTTAACTAGTGGATACTCAAATCTACGTGCAGCCTAAACATGACACTGAAGCAGCTGTCTCTGTGCTCTCTAATTGCAGCTCTGACATAAAATACTGGATGACCCAAAGTTTTCTTCATTTAAACTGCAACAAGACTGAAGTGATTCTTATCAGCACCTCAACTACTGTATCCAGGGCCAATTCAGTAACCCTACATGTGGACGGCATTGTGCTTGAATCTCAGTAAAAAAAAAAAGAATTTGGGGTTGTTGACCTTTGACATACATGCGCAAAATATTGTAAATATATCATTCTTCCATCTTAGAAATATTGCCAGAACACATTTTATTTTTTGTCTCTAAATTAACAGCAAAGCTGGTTAACACATTCATTTTTTGCAGAAATGATAACTGCAGCTCCCTACTCACTGAGGTGTCTAGATCCACACCAAACATACTTTGGTATGTCCAGAATTCAGCACCTGGAAGTTTGACCTGGTTGCGTGCAAGTGATCACATTACTCCTGTCCTGGAGGCCTTGCACTGGCTTCCTGGCAGGTTTCGTGTCGACTTCAAAATCCTCCTGCTCACCTAGAGGGCTCTGCATGACTTGGCACCTCAGTACCTGTCCGATTTATTATCTTCCTACTCCCCACCTCGAAATCTTCGTTCATCTGATTCTGGTCTCCCCTTTCTTCCCCAAGCGCGTTTACACTCCACAGTTGACAAGTCCTTCTGCTACACCCCACAGCTTTGGAAATCTATCCCCAAGGATAGCAATGCTGAAGTCCAGACTCAAAACCTTCTTGTATTGAAAGGCTTGTATTGAATTGGTGTCTGTGTTTGCTAATGGCGTCTTCTACTGCATTTCTAATCCCTTGTGTTGCTTTGTGCTAATTTTGTTATCTCCTTTGTTGCTGTTTTCATTTGTGTTATCTGTTTTTTTTACTGTTCCCCTAAAGTGCTTTGAAAAGATACGGTTCAAGGCACAATATAATAATAAAGATGATGATGATGATGATGATTATTCAGATGGGCATTACATTAAAGTAGCCTGAGGGATACAAAACAAAAAGAAACAAAACACCCCTTCTTCTCCTTTTAATAATAATAATAATAATAATAATAATAATAATAATAATAAATACAACTACATGTGTGCTGAGTTCTTCATCCCAAAGCAGAGACCCACTTCTTTCACCCCTGAAGTGCTGCCTCACCTGGGTGATGTGCAGCTCCCATTTTGTCCCAGCAGCCCCAGGTACACACAGGGCGGCAGGTAGAAACAGCTTCACCAACTGAAGGAAAGAGGCACTTGAAGGAGACAGGATCGTGCAGCCACAGAACCGAATTTGTCCACAGCTCTTACAATTGCCCTATAATGAGAGCTTAGTCAGGACCACAAGTTTAAAGGTTTAAGAGGTAGAACAAAATGATAAATATAAATCCTGAAACACTACAGATGCCCGATTTCAGAGACTCCCACACACTTTTAAAGGCCTTTATGTGGAGAGTGTATGCCTTTTGGCACTCTGTGTTAGCTTTCCGCGGAAGAAAAGTGAATGGGAAAGAAAGAAAACAATTGTATATCCTTTTGATGGATTAGAACTGTTAATCTTCTTGGATGTCTTTTGTTAGGGAGCTCGAATCTCTTTAAAACCACAAGAACTAGTATTCCCTCAGTGCCGGGCTTCCTAGTTATTGTCGGATAAAAGACAGACGTTGAATCCTCACTGTATTGTGTTGTTACTCTGACCTTTATTAAGCTTAGTTCAGGTCGTGCAGTGTATACAATGATTCAGCACAACTACACCTCAAAATCTGTCCTCACCGCTGTACTCTCACGAACTATAGAAATTAAAAATCCAATACACCGCCCTCAACACAACGATGCAGTAAATTAGAGTAATACCGCACAATATTTTAATCACAAACAGCACATCACACTTTATTCATTTGTTTTCAATTGTTCCTGGACTTCCAGAGCTACATTAATTGAAATACAATCTCGGAGCACGGGACCTTTTGTAAATATTGGAGATCACATGGCAACACAAAACGGGAATACTGCTCTATTTTTTTTTCATATATTCACTTTGCGGTTAAATCCAAGACTGTGGTGTGAACCGCTGTTTTCGGACCGCGGAGACTAACCGTTCGGCGCGCGGGTCGCCGTTACCACGAGTAACTGACCTGTCTGCGTCATCGTTTTTGTTTTGCGGGCCACAACGATCACCTCACCCGTCACCTCGCGCCGGGGACGCGCGCCCAAAACAACCAACCGCTGCTCTCTCTCCCGCTGCACCTGCCTCGGCTCAGGTAAGCCTGCGCGCGCCCGCGACGCTGGGTCTTGACAGCGGAGCGCGCCCCCGAGTCCCCCCTGTCTGGCTGGGAGGAGGGTGCGCGCCTCCCGACGACGGCCGGGGGAGCGCGCATCCCCGAGAGAGGCGGTGAAGGGAAGAGAGAGACGGACGGAGAGAGAGATCCCGGCCGCCTTCGCCGAGGTGGAGAAGGATACCAACATGAGCTCTCGGAAGGGTAACCGGCTCTCTTTCATACGCAAAGCCTCGGGCGTCCTGGGCCGGGCTGGGGGGGCAGGTTCGGGGGGCTCGGGTGTGTTTGTGCGCTCCACACGGCGGTGGTGGCGGCGGTGCGGAGGGCGGGCGATGCTTTTGAAACCGGCAAACTGATGTGTCGCTCTTGTCTGTCCGTCTCTCTCTCTCTCTCCCTCCCCTGCTTCTGCCTGGCTCCCGGGTCGCCCTCCCGCGATCCCCACCGCAGTGCTGGCCATCCAGGCCCGCAAGCGGCGGCCGAAGGGGAAGAAGGACAAGGCAGCCCATCACCGGAGGTAGGCAGCGGTCCGGGGCTGCAGGGCGGCGGCGGAGGCGCCCCCTCTGACAGCGCTGACAGCGGGAGAGGGGGAGCTGACACTGGCACACTCGGCGCACAGACGCGATGGCGGAGCGGGGGGGGTGTCGTGGTGCCCTGGGTGCCGAGGGAGGGAGCGGGGCAGCGGGGCAGCGGCTCTGCGGCTCCGACTCCTCTTCCCGGGGCTGCCCGGCCGTGGTGTCGGAAGTTGCTATTGGCAACGATCCGCAGCCCCAAAGGGGGGGGGGGAGGACGGTGGCTCTGGAGCCGGCGGGACAGGCTGTGCCGCGTCTACCGCTGGTGCCAGCCCGCCCAGACCACCTCCTCGCCCGGGCGCTGGGCTGCTGGAGCCGGACCGGGCTGTGATGTGAGGTGATGTGCAGTTCGAGCCCCCGAGCCGAGTTGCTGCCCTGCTGGTGGTTCGGAGAGGGGGGTGGGGTGTACAGGGCTCCGCTGCTGCAAGACGAGAATTGACTGACGTTGACATCTATCGTTGGTGCGAGAGGTGCGAGAGGTGCGAGAGAGAGTTTCACCCAAAACCGGCTGGGTGGGGGCGGAAAAAAAAACACTGAATACGCAAGCAACGGTAACGTAGCAGCTCTAGCGGTGCGCCGGTCCCGTGTTTCTGAATGCTTCCGCGTTCAAGAGCGCCTGGCCGCCGTGCCGAAGCGATGTGATGCTGGAGGCGAGAGGCGCTCTGCTCGCGCGCGCACAGCTCGAGGCTCCGCCACGCGCGGGACCGGGGCAGGGGAGCCCGGGTGACGTCATGGTCATGAGCTGGCGTCCCACCCCCACCCGGGGCTGACACGGCGCTGGCTGGGGCAGAACGGGCTTGTGAACGGGATCCCTGGGCACAGCGTCTGTCTGTCCACAGGCTCCCAAATCCTGCTCGCTGGAACCTCGCTGTTCGGGCCTCTGCGCGACCCGGGGGCTGTCAGTTCGACTCCTGAAGTGAACTCCGACCTGAACTCTTCATCTGCCTGTTTGTTGGTTGTCTGCTTGCCTCCAGCTTTGTGAAAGTTTCCTGATTTCGCGCGGGATAACCCGAAAAACGTGTAGAAGCCTTGAGAATTTCTTTGAATCCCGTCGAAGTGGACTCAGCGGGGTGGGAGGAAGAATTCGACAGGAACCCTAACCCCGCGGGCCCTGCAGAAATTCCCCCCTCGGAGAGCAGCGAGGGAGCAAGGCTGCTCTGTTGTCCCCTTTATTCCCCTTAAAGAACAGAAACAAAATTCCTCTCCTGTTATGAACTGTCATGAAAA